CTCACTGATTACTGTACAAACACATAACTTTATCAGTGATTTGGGTGAAACTGGATCATATTTTATGGAGAGAATATTGTCTGGTTTTCCCTTCGACGTCCTCCGGCTGGACGCAACTGAACGGGGCTCAGCAGCCTCCCAGTGAACATGACCTCAGAGACAGACAGAGGACAGTTTGACGACTGGTACCGAGGAGATTTATGGAGTTTCCTGATGGACTTGTTGCTAAAAGAAGCTTACTGTCACTAACAGTAAAGTTAGATGCTGTTATCTTGTGCAGCTAACATTAGCGGACTTAGTCCCGGGAGTGGCAGGATCCAAACCCGGCACTAAAACCACCTCAGTTCTTTATTCCCTGTCATTTTCTGCATGATCTCTCTGCACCTCCATCTCACAAAGTTCCTGTTACTTTCCACTCGTTTTTTCCTTTTTCTCCTTCATCACCTTATCTCATACAGCATTATCTCTCTCTCTCTCACTCTCTCCATCCCTCTTTTTTCAGCAAACATCTTCCTGCCCTTCATTTTTTTGAATCCATTTCCTTCTCTTGCTCAAATTCTTTTCCTTTATTTTGTCTCCTCCTCTTCTCTCTATCCCTTTATCCTACATACAATCTTGTTTCCCTGTCTTTTGCTGCCCCATCCGTCTCTTCTTATCTCTTTTTATCTCTCTTTTCTCCCACTTTTCCTCCTCTCCTATCTATTCACATCCCATTATTTCTCTCTGTTATCTTTGCCCTCGTTCCATCTTCCTATCCTTCTGTTATTCCTCTCCCTCCGTCTCGTTTATCTTCCTCCCTCTGTCCATATCTTCTCTTCCTTCCTCTCGTTCGCCTGTTCTCCTTTTCTGCTTCACCTCTCCTGAACCTCCTTCCTCCTCCTCTTCCTCTTCCTCTTCCCCCTGTAGCATGTTTCCTTCACCGAGCTACATGTCAGTTAGCTTCCTGACTAAGCTGTCTGTTAGCCTGCTAGCTAGTGTTTGCGTCTTTAGACAGGTTTCACATGGCATGGTCAGCTAGCTTCAGGCTAACTCGGGCTAACTGTTGTCCCAGAGGCAGCGCTACAGTCACACACACACACACACACACACACACATACCAGGCATTGTCATAGCGGTGTCATTCAGAGTCTGTCAGCGTCCTGCTCTCAGCGTGGACAGTCAGCACAGAGACTAGTCCTTTCTGACATGTCAGACAACACTTCGGTACCGGCAGCAAGATTCAAGGAGACGATGAAACACAACAGCAGAGCTTCTTTTTGCATCAGGAAGTTTAAATGAGACAGAAGTAGAGGCGGTTTTATGTTAGTGTGCACTCAAACACTGGAATATGTTGTGAATAATAATGTTTATTCAGGGAAGCACAATGGTTGCATGTCCGCAGTGATAAACATTGTATAGAATTAGTAATTGTGAGTGTTGGGTACCAAACTTTTTACAGTACTTTTACTTTTTTTAATTTACATTAAAAAAATCGGTGCCACATTTCGGTTGCGAATCTGTGTGAGAGAGTATAGAAAGGAAGAGAAATATATACTACTACAGTAAACTGCAGTCTCCTGCAGCAGCCACGACTAACGTTCAAGTACAACGAAACTTAGTCAGGCATCGACATCTTCAGGTTATCAATTAGCTTTAATTGGATAAGATACTGTTGATGTTAGCTTACAGTTTTACTGCCAGTCCAACAACCAATCAGGAGGATGTCTGATTGGTTGTAGTTCAGGTGATAATAAATATAATTCCTCATTCATTCCTGACCGTCACATTAAAGCTGCTCACTAGTTTCTCTCCTCTGCTACCTCCAGAGCGGCTCTACCTCGAGGAGAATATTTGCAGAACTAAAGACTCAACCTGCTGTTTGTTTGGTTTCTGTCTCACAGATCAGACGAGGGACATAATGGAGCCAAATCTGCCTCCATGTTTATTCCGTTCACAGCTCCAAACAGTCTGAAAAACACTCAGTCGCTATCAGATTCAGATGAATAGTTGTTATTATTTAGTGTTGTGTGTGTGTGTGTGTGTGTGTGTAGTGCTTATTGAAGGTTAGAAGTGACACTCCACCATGTCGGATGAGTGACAGGAAAATAAAGAGACAGTGATGTGTTCGCCTCTTCCTCTCTGACAAAACAAAAGCTTTTCACACTGTTTGTTTTAAACCTCAGGCTACAGAAAGCCCAGAGATATTTACTGTACGTTCAAACTGTTTCACACTCGTAGATATTAAACAATGGTTTATAATAAGATCTGGGCTGGTTGAGGGTCGTATCCCGGGGCTGATGGATAATGATAACATGATAAAGTGCCCTCTAGGGTTCCCTTCCGGTGGACCAAATGTGGTAAAGGGCCCTTTAGGGTGCCAACGCTAACCCTAACAAAGCTGCACATCGTTTAGCACACAGATTTGCAGACGTTTGCCTTCTTCTGTCCGGAGTCAAAGTGCAAAGCTTAGCATCAGAACCGACCTGCTACCTGCAGATGTCAAAATGTCAAACAACCTTTTTAACGCAGCACAGTCACCATCCTTTTCACAATAAACTCATCTGTCTCGATTGACCTCCTGACAACACAACTCATGTCAGCAGCTGTCACTCAAAACCCTTGAATCCTTCGACAAGTGGCGCTCTCAGCCGGGAGGAGGGTCCACAACCAGAACACCAAGAGAAAATGTCCACTCACCCTGCGTCGCTGCCGTTCCCACAGATTAAGGCATCCTTGGCTCCCTCCACCTTGTAGAAGTTGTCTAGGGAAGAAAAATAAATTCCACTTCAGAGTTCAGTTTCTAATGAAGTTCATTTTTACTGATTCTGCCTCATTAGACCCCTCCTCGGGACTGTGTGGGTGTGTGGTAGCTGGGCTTGATTGACATCTCCTTGACCCTTCTGTCAGCATCTCATTATGTAACGACTGCTGCACAGTTGTTGCACACTTGGCTTTTTATTATGAAGTGTGTTTGTCAGTGAGCTTCTGCATCTGCAAAGCAAGACAACACCACATTTCTACCGGCTGTTTCTGTGCAAAATAAAGTCTCCATCTTTTGTCTGTTTTGTCATGTTACATCCGTCATGGGTGATCATAATCTAGTGTCCAAAAACCCCCCAAAGCTGTGGGTGTTTCAAGTGCGTCCTGTGCTTCTTCTGCCAGGCGTTCTGTCTGCCTTACCACAGGGTCGATAAACTCATCAAACTCAGCTCGTGTGTTTTGGCTGGTTAGACACCGTCTTGGCAGGAAAACCGAAACCATTAGAGGAACCGCGGCTTGCTGAGCATTTGTTCGACACTTAACTCCGACCACAAGCAATTTCCAAGTACATTAATACACTTTTAACGTGAGCATGGGGGATGCTTTACGTTCTCCTCTGCCGCAAATACACTAAAGCTTTTAATGCACGTCGACAGGAAGAAAACAAGTGCTTCTTAACTTTTGTTGTGGTTCGAGGATACAGTATTTATTGCAGAGGATGGGAGTAAATGTATGTAACCCAGCACAAGGAGTAAATACATTTCTTTTATTGTCAAAAGCTGCTCCTCTGTAAGACAACTTTCACTGTAAAAAAAAAACAACTAAGTTTACAAGTTGTTTTCCTGTTGATTTTACAGATTCTTGCAATTGTAAATAATCATAAAATTACTGCTTTTTTAAAGAATTCTTCCTTTTTTTCACGTAAAATAAATGTTCAAATAGGTATTGTTTATTTAATAGATTAAACTGTTAAATTCAAGTTTAACATGTTAATTAATTAACAGTAAAACTATTTATTTTATTTTCAATAATCTGTTGAAATACATTTTTTTATCAGTGAAAACATCAATAATTACTGTAATTTCACAGATAATTACTTTTATTACAGTTCTATAACTTTTAAAATTCCCATTAAAATAAGAGAAATTTAATAATAACAGCACTCTGCTGTAAATTTAAGCCTGATTATTTGTATTATAGCAGTGTTCACCTGTATTTATAGGTAATACTGTATTTATAGCTCATTTCATTTTTACATGTGTAAATATCTTTAAACACTGAATGTAGAATTAAACTTAAAACTGTATTTTATTATAGAAAATGACCATAAACCAGTTATTTTACAGTATTTTTTGCTGGATATTTACCACTTTTTATAATTTCAGTGTTTTTGCAGTGTGCGTGAACCTGACAGATGGGGGATCTCGGTATCAAATGCTGTGGCAGTAACTTTTGAACAGAAACAGTGACCTTAAATGCTGGCTTGACATTTTCATCCATTTGCCTTACGGGAACAGCATCTTTTATTCAACACACGATTCAGACCACATGCATTTAACTGCGGCCATTATGAGCAATTACACAGCATTCCAATAGAAACATATTAAAATGTTATTATCGCACTAAATGTACTCGGGGAAACAAAAGAAGCTGCTGCGCCCAGTGAAACCTCAGCCTGTCAGAGGGAAACAAAGCATTCAGACATTTCAAAGTCGACAAAGAAAGCCCTGTTCGTTCCTTTACTGTGGCCGTACACGAGCAAAGGTTCCCCCTTTTTGACAAACAAAACAGGTTCTTTGGTGCTTCTGTTTGGCTCCGACTGCATCCGACCGACCGCTGCACCAAAGGCACTTAAGCTTTTTAGGAGCCATTCATTAGTTATCGAGTGCATCTGGGAGACTGCATCCCCTGCTTGCCAAACAAAAACTTCTGATGTCTGAAGTGCTTTTTGTTCACCGGCTCAAAGTAACCACGAAGCCTTTACGCAGCGCTGATATTAGTCACTGAGGCATTTTCTTCCACAGACAAAACAGATACGAACTGTCTACTTAAAGTCATTACCTGAAACATCAGGTTCCCAAAACTCCCCCTCAAATAAATGCATATTAGCCCACGGACTGACATTTAATAAAGGGGTTTTTTTTTTCAGAGCGACCCCCCATCTGAGAAGATTTTACAGAGCTGCAGAAACTTGGAAAATTGTCTCTACAGGACATCGAGAGAGTGGGCTTAATTTCATTTCTATTTAAACTCAAGAGCAGCAAATTACTCTGACAAGCCTAAACACACCTCCACCCTCCTCTCGAGCACTTTCATCTGCCAGAGACGCATTTACATGATGAAGGTCTGCAGTTATGTCACAGTGAAATATGCTGAGACACTGTTAAACACTGGTTAATATGCTCTCCACTGAAGATATTAATTGGTGATTCATTTATTGTTTAAATGCCTTCAAATTCATCGGTTTCCATCTTGATAGTGGACAAAAACAGCAACAGTTTGTGTTAAGCTTAACAGCGTTTTTGTAATTTTAAGTTAAAAAGAAAATTTATTTGTTCACATGGATGAAATCAGATGATGATATTCAAGCTGAAAGTGTTTCTGAATGAATGTTAATCCTTGATTTAATAATCTTAATCTAAGATCCGCTTACTGGCTTCATCAGTGGATGGAGTTTGTTCAGTTTCATTGCTAAAAGTAATGTAGAAATGTAGTGAGAATGTATAATTATATCTTCCACCAGTCGGTTTATTATTACGGACATGAATCGATGATGTTTAGCTGGATTTTGAACAGTCTACTTTAATTTCTAGAGGAGCTCCTAAAGCTTTCAAACACACTGAATATATAAAAAATTTGGGGGAAATAGATTACAAATGTTTATTAATTACTCAGTATACTGTGTTATATAGCTAAAGTGCAGATATTTGTTAAGACCAGGTTAAACCAGAACGTCTGGTCACAGTATCCAACTACCCTTGCTGCTGTCACAAAGTCACTACGACACACAAACCGGATCGCTGGACTCGCTTATAGGTCTCTTTCATCTTTTAACCATCTTCAAAACGTGGTAGACGAGACTAACACAGCACAGATCTAAGTACAGGAAGAGACTCCAGAGGACGAGTGTGTAGGATTTAGTGGTCTCTACCAGTTGCAAATGACTGAACACCTCTGGCGTCTGTATTTGACGACGGGCTGTGAAGCTTGTAGGAGAAATTACGGTGGCTGCAAAGCTGGTGAAAACCACCAAAGGCCCAATCTAGAGCCAGTGTTTGTTTTGTCCATTCTGAGCTACTGTAGAAACATGGCGGCCTCAAAAACGCCTCATGCTAAGGTAACGAAACCACAACGATTCCTATTTTCAGGTGATTAATCACTAATGAAAACATAACTTTAAATATAATATTATATTTCTCACAATCGATCCTCCTTAATTTAAGACACTGTTTTTTGTTTTTTAATTTTAAAAATACTTAAAGCCCCTCGAGGAGCTTTCACTTTGTGATGATGGTAGCAGCTCCCTCTCATTATTGATCTTGCTTGTTTATAGGTCATTTAGAAGCATATGTAGGTTTAAGGGGGAATTTAAGGGGGACACACCGGCTCCAGAAGTTATTGCCAACTGTAAGCAGGAACATAATCTGAATAAAGAACTGATTCATTATGAAGAATCGTGTATAAAACTGCTGTTGACCAGTACATGGCGTCTGTTGTTATTTATTTATTGAACCCTCCGACAAGAAGCGGCGGGGACGACGGCTGCTGCTGCTGTGAGCCGGCTCTGACCACACAGAACAAACACGGCATGATGGGAAATGTTTATCATGGAGAACATCCACCATTGATCTCTCCCACTGAGGGCTGTTTTCAGATCAGCCGAACGGGACGAGCTCTCGGGTTTCACGGCAGCTTTTAGAGATCGATACAGGAGCCTGCGGGGGACATTTGTTTGATGTGATGGATGGCAAAGTGGAAATGAATAAATAGAAGGTACATTAGCAAGAAGCAGCATGTCCCAACAAATCCCATTACTGTAAGCTCAAAGTTGCCTTTATTTTTGGGCGGTTTCACCCTTTAACAGGAAGTAGAAACACTGCTGTGGAGGCTGTATCGCACTTGGCGTTAACTGGCACTTTACTTATTTAAATTTACTTAATTTGGTTCAATCAAATATATATTTTTGTTAAAACTTTATCGCGCCGTATGTCCTATTTATTGAGTCCGGGTTGGCAATTTGGGGGCTCGTCCATTTGTTTGTTTTGTGAGGAAGTTCGTTCGTGCCTGAAGCAGGCCAGGAGATTAATAATTACACATCTGTTTTTTGGATAATGAGAGTCTGTTTATCCCGGGGGGTATTTACTCTTCAGTGGACCTAGAATTAAAGGTTTGCTATCGTGTTTGTGTTTCTGTAGCTTTATTTCCATTGGATGAAAAGAAAAATAGTGAATGAATGAGTCATAACCGTTTTTTTGTCTTGTGTGGTCATTTATAAAAGGGTCAAAGGCTCCTGAAACACTCCCAACAGTTTTGGTTAACTGGGAAACATTATAAAAGATACAGGCCACGTTGTTAAAGGTAAAATTGTGCAATGAAAGAGAGGATTAAATAGCATTAACTCTGCAGATAACATATAAAAACAGCTTTATTTGTTAGAGCAGAAAGTCTTGATTTGCGTGCAGCTTCAAAGAGCAGCCGGAGAGATGAATAGTCCTTTACAGGTGTGTCTGTGTGAGTATTTACAGTAAGTCCTCTGTGTAATGAACCTTTTGTATAAATGATGTATTTATGAAAACAACAGCCACACCCCTGCTGTTCTTTTTACACCAGTAAAACAGTTTAAACTGACCCTCAACGCGACACAGACCAACGCCACCTGCACATGAACACGCAGGGTTTGTGTATTTTGTCTCACATAAATAATATTTTATAAATGTTCAATTCTATTCGTGAAGAAATTACTGAGACACAGAAGGAGAGAAAATGACATGAAGACAGGACACAAGATAAAATGATTAATAAAAAGGAAAGATATAAGAACAGAAACGGAGTAATGGAATAAGGAAAAGAGAATAACTAAGTCCTGCCCCTTTTTTCTCTGTGGTCCAATCACAGTTGAGCAAGCCTCTTCCTGTAATGGCGGAAACATTTGTTTACTCTTTGTGTACATGTGGCGTTATTTTGGGCAGATTTTTTGTTGGATCTTAATACCATACTTTGGAGAAGAAATTTTGATTTATTGTAAATATTAACCACTTCTAAATTGTCCAGAAATAAACAATATATAATTATTTTTGTTCTAGCAAAATTTTACATTCATGAAATTATTATTACCTGTAAACAAACTATGCTTTCACATTTAAAAACCTGTAACCAAAAAAATTAACCAAAACTATTAAGTTATTATATTAAATGAAGCTCTTGTGTGTTTTGTTTTTTTTTTGTTTTTTTGTATTTCTCCTTTTTCTTTTTTTGTAAAACAACTCTATCTGAAAACTTGGGACTTCCTGTAAACAGCACTTATGATTTCCATTATGTTGTATTGTCCAAAAATGTTAAATCAAAGCTTAAAAACAAAAACAAAACAAAACAAATGCAATCTCCTTACCTGTACTTAGATATGCTACACGCTAGGCTAATCTATGTTGAAAAGAAGATGATTAAAAGATAAAAGTGACATAAATATCAGATTTTAAGTTTGCTAATGTTAGCAAAACTTTTGCTAACTAGCTAACCATTAGCAGACGTAACTAGCCAGCTAATGGTTTTCTTAGGTTAACTAGTGAGTTAGTAAGTGTTTTCCCAACACTAGCCACCCAATTAAAGATGGGTCTGTATATGTCGGTTTTATCTTTTAACCATCTTCAACATAGACGATCTAGCACATAGCATATCAAAGTACACGGAAACTAATTTTTCTTATAATTTGCCGTACTCTGCTTCTGATTGGAGCACACAGCGAAAAAGGGTGGGACTTAAAGCAATGATCTCTTTGTTGTGATAATTGTTTCTATTGATTTCCAGTCATTTTAAATTTATTTTATTATATTTTTTTACGCTGTGTGAAGATTAAAATAGTGACACAGTTCAGTGTTTTTTGTTTGTCAGAGGGAGAAAAAAAAGTGGAGGTGCAGCTCGGGTTTCATTTTTCATCCGACAGCGTTAAGTGTTTCCTCAACCCTGACCTCGACCTCTGTGTGTGTGTGTGTGTTTGTATCTGCTGTGTGTTCGTCCACATAACGTATATAATGTTTCCTGGTCAACATGCCTCACATGTCAAACAGTGTATACACCAATTGACCTCACATAACCTCCCTGTGTGTGTGTGTGTGTCTGTGTGTTATATGTCTTATATGTACTATGCTCCTGGTAAACTGCCTGGCTGAAACTGGTTGTACACACATCACGTGTGTGTGTGTGTGTGTGTGTGTGTGTGTGTGCGATTATTGACGTCAGCTGTAACCACAGTGCCAACGTGGCATTGTCCCGTCCATTTATGAAACACCAGTCACCGCTGCTGCACGGCACACACTCACATGCACACTGGCATCGAACAAGTGCTTTTGATGTTAGAAATGACCTTTTTATTCTTTATTCTTCTATATTTTTGTTATTTTGGTTCATGACCACAAATCCAGATTCACCCTAATACACACGAACAACAAACTACCTGCGAAAACCTTTTCTGATGATTAGATACATTATTATTATTGTTATTAGTTAGGCCAAAGATGGAGGTCAATGTCAAATAGTGCAAGTCAGGAGTGAGTGCGATGTCCAATTATTCAGCAATGATATCAGGAGTGGAGCCAGACATTGTAAACATTCAGGGTTTTAGCCCAAGCTCATCCTCCAATTTACAGCAGGTGTATGCAGCATTTTTCAAACCAGGCAAGATAATAGAAGGCCTAAAAATCTGTACATCATTTGGGAGAAGCCATGATGGTTGCCCAGGAATAAAATCATCATCATTATTCTCCAACTGTCTTCATCATTCTGAAACGGTAACACAACCAACGTCGAGGAGGCTGAGGGGAAATGACACAAAGCTGAAGTTATTTTAAAACAAGGGCTCCCACTCTTATTAAAAAATCATTTCCCGGGAGTTTGCTTGACAAAACAGGGACAGCACAAACACTATAATGTACCAGTAGGCCTAGTACGGACCCAGGTTTAGTCCTACTTTATGTATCGATGCAGGTTCATGATGAAGTGTCTCAGGTTCATTACAGGTAACTGGTCACTACATTTTACCACAGTTTGCTAAAAGAAAAAGGTCAAATTCATCCAAATTCAGTGGTTTTACACAAACTTCTGTATCTGTTGTGTTGTCAGTTTACTCAATGACAGTCTGGCTTTGTTAAAATCTGAGTTTAATTTCAGTTATCTGAGATACTCACATCAAAACAACTTAATTTCTTGAACGCAACATCCTAAAATCTAAATTAAATCAGTAAAAACAGCAAAAAAATAAATAAATAAAAAGTACCCAAAGTGACTCCAGCTTATCGTGTGCAGCAGTTTAGAGTTAGATTCTCACCCTCGTCGTTGATGAAGTCCTTCAGGGAGGCCCAGGTCTTGTTGTTGCAGTAGAAGGAGGTGTTGGTGGGCAGGCTGCCGTTGACGCAGTGCACCGTGCTGCGGACACATTTCTGCCGCAGGTTTCCCATAAAGAGCTGCAGGCCGATGAGGGCGAAGACGCTCAGGCAGAAGACGGTGAGGATCATCACGTCGGCGAGCTTCTTCACTGACTGGATGAGAGCGCCGACGATGGTCTTCAGGCCTGCCGGACCGCCGGGGACGCAAAGACGCGGACAAGATTAATATATAGATGAATGTTACTGTGGCCATGAACCCTCATTTAGACCAACAGAGCTCAACTGTGAGGTTCTGGAAGTAAAAGTCCCATTCATAATTCTAATGAAAGATTCTGAGTTTTCCAAGGGGTCGACAATAAAAGATGATTTAAAATAACCCTAACCCTTTGCTCTGATGCCCCAAAACCCTCGTAGCAAGATCATTTTTTGGACTTTCTAAAACCTGCATACACTAACTGCTTTACTGTGTAAACATGTAACGCTAAGAAAACAGCACTGAAAACACTAAAAGACAACCAAACATTGAAGACGGTTAAAATATAAACACGACATATATATAGAGAAATATATATATATATATATATATATATATATAGAGTCACATCTTAAATTAGCTAATGTTGAAACTGAGGTAAACTTAACTTAACTAACTTAAAATGTGACTATATATATATTATAACAATTTCATTAACACTGTAATAATGACAATTCAAGATGAAGTGCGCTACTATCATTCGCAATAGTTTATAGGATGAGTAGTTCCTTCACTCTTAAAATGTACTTTTGTCCTTTTTTTCCAGTTTTCCACACTTTTTTGCTCTGATTCAAATGTTTTATGGTCATGATTCGATTAAAACTCTTCATATGAAGACGTCAATGGAGTGAATGAATGGGAAACTCACTTCCTGAACCAGAGCCGTTCAAAAAAGTGGGCCTTCACTGCAGAGCTCAATTACTAAAATCATTCTTTCACAAAATATATGATGCAGAATAATAATTAATTACCATGTATTTAGCAAAATTCTACTTTAAAATCGAAAGTAAAAACTTAATAAAAACAAGCTGCTTGTTCATAAAAGGGTCACATATGTTAGACTTGTAAACCATAAAGATGGCAGCCACCTCCACTTAATGTCTTTTAAAATCCAAAATATTTCACTCAATTAGCAAAAAGCACACGTTTTTAAATTGTCAATAAAGTACTTAAAGACAGCAGCGTATGCTCATTTTTTTATGTTTTAAATAAAAAAAACAAAGGGCCGCCATCTTTAGGAAATAAATCACAAAATAACAAATTAATTAAATGAAAAAAGAAGAAGTTGTATAACTCTGCTGTTAGGTGAAAATCTCTTTATGTGTGGTTAAGAGATTCATTAAAGAAGATCAATTATAATCCATTCATGTTAATTTGTCACATTATGCTTTTTGGGAGGGTTTTTCATCTGACAGCAGCTTTAAGTTTCCCCAAAAACACGTTGCCACTGTGGGAAAAGGTCACCGTCATCATCACCAACAAAATCAAGCAAAACAGACCACAAACTCCTTCATTAACATTCAGATAAAAAACCAAACACACACAGGAACATATGGTAAAAACAGCAGGAACAAAAAACACTCAGAACACAAAGGGTGCAGACAAGTTGACTGTCCAAAGAAACCACCAGCATCTCTTTTTATGTCAGTTAATTCATTAGAAACAGACACACGGACAGATCGCATCCAAAAGCTGGTGAACAGACTCCGGGTTGCTGAAGCGTCTGTAAGCTAATGAATGAGCAGTGTGATTACGTGTAGCTATGGTTGATGACATGCTGTCGACATGTTGCTACTACTGCGATACAGTTATAACATGTATTAGACAGTGTTATAACGAGGCCACTAACCACGGCTAGTATGATTTAATCACATGTTTGAGATAACAACGCTGTTGGCGCTGCATGCTTACATGCACAGTGGGAACATACAGAGGCTAGCCAGAGATAGATATGAAGAAATTGTTCCACATTTTTAATTGTAATATGATCTTGCACTTAAACTTATATATTATTATAATTTAGGAAGTTAATGGTTCTTTATCAGATCAAGTATTTAAAGGGACAATGTGTAG